CCTCACGAGAGGAATATTTACCAGGTGTATCCCTCTGTTTTCTGAATATTTGTATATATTCTTCGTATTTCCAGGTGAATCTCCCCACCTTTTCCCCTAGTTAGCTTGGGAATGAATCTCTTTTATAAGCAGCTTCCCATAGCGTGAACAGTGTAAACAAGTCTCTGCAATATCACTTCAGTCGTTGTTTGATTTATAGTAATATTTTAATTTTTTCCTGTTTATTTCCTCTATGTCTTGTAAAGTTTAGAGATGTGTGTGTGTGTTCAGAAAATTGACCAGTTTTCTTTGTTCTCCTTCCAGCAATTGTATTTTTTATCTCAGAGTCTTTACTCAGTTATTGGGCATTTATCCATGTTGCTGCACGTGTGCATACGAGGTCATGATGCCACATCCCTGCTGATTTGTCTTTAAAACCATTCTCTTCAGCAAATTTTCTATGAGATGGACCTGCTTTTACTCAGTTGCCCTCTATGAGAGAGCACCACCTTGTGGAAAAGGAAAGCAGAGCTTCATCTCAGCTAGATTGAAAAGACCAAACCTTCAACTTATTCTCCCTTATTTTGGGGTCTCTTTAGTTAGTTTTGATCATCTCTGGATAATATTTGCCAGTGCTGTTAATCCCCGTGTAGGTGAGCTGCACGGAATGAAAGTCAGAAGTCTGAATAAACCTCAGTACCTTTATTAGAAGTTTTGAAGCAGTGACAGAGCTTAAAAAAGCATGTTTCTTTAATTTGATTACATTTATGGTTATGTTAAATTATACTGCTCTAATTAAGGATTACTAGGATTTTCTATAATAAACTTGAATGTTCAGCTATTTATAACTCAGGGAAAATATTTCCTTACAGAAATTTGGCATCCAGTGTCTCAAGCTGAAAAGCATAGCTTTCCTTTTTCTATTTTTTTTTTTTTTTAAAGACTCTTTGGCTGGATTCTGTTTAGAGGGAGGCAGTTTTTTGGTGGTTTTATATGCTTTTTGTTCTCCCTTGGCAAGGCTTAGATACATGGAAAAAGCAAATTTTCTAGGCTCTTAGTCTTTTATGTCATCTATTTCCTTTTTGATATTTCAAACATTGTGCTTTGGTAGCCATTACTTTTTAACAGAGCCAGTATATAATTCAATAAACAGTCACCTCTAACTATCTGCCATAACTACTTTTTATATTTCATTACATGAAAGTAGTTCATATAATAAAGTTATGTATTATTTTTCTGAAACAAAACTGATTTGCCTTGCATGTTTAGTGTCTAACATAAATACTTGTGTATTTCTGTAGGGTTCATCGTTTTTGGATTCTCTTCAAATATAAAAGCTATTTCTCATTTTTCTGTTTATTGCAGAAATAGACCATTTAATGCCATACTTAAAGGTATCAAAAGTTTCTTTAAAAAAAGTTTCTTTCTTTACAAGGAGAGTGGTTAGGCCCTGGAACGGGCTGCCCAGGGAGGTTGTGGATGCCCCGTCCTTGGACGTGTTCAAGGCCAGGTTGGACGGGGTCCTGGGCAACCTGATCTGAATGTGTATGTTTGGTGGCCCTGCTAGGCAGGGGGGTTGGAACTACATGATCCTTGAGGTCCCTTCCAACCCGGGTGATTCTGTGATTCTGTGAAAAGTCTCTTAAGTCTTTCTGTTCATTGGTTCTGAAAACCCTTCCCTTTTACCCAAGAGGATGGTGCACATTTAAAATCCCTGTTTTAGAGTTAAGGAGTCTCCATTCCTCAATTCAAGAAGTTCTGGTTAAGGTCTGATACCATCCAGATAGTAAACTCCACGTAAACTCTTTAAGACTTCAGTCTGTTCTGTGGATTTGATGTTTGCCTAGTGCATGCAAGTGACATTGAGCCTGGCACAGAACGACTGGTGGCTGTGCTCGCTTCTTCAGCTGTGTTTTAAGTGGCATCCACATACTCTGCAAGTGTGACACTGTGATCAGAAGACAGCAAGAAAACAGGGAGTCTCATTTTCTGATTGCATTGTCAAGTACGTATCTCCAGCTTCTTGGAAGTAAGTCCTAACTGCTTGGTTACTGAGTCCTGTGAACGTAGGACAAGACAAGTGAAGATGAAGAGATGTTTCTTTCCTCTCAAATTCAGCTTGGAATATAGACTCTAAAAGATACTGCTTGAGAAGATGTAAAATAGTCCCTCTTTATTTGTGAGCTTTATTCAGTGATTATGTACTGTAAAATGTGTGAATAGTACATGGGACTGAATTCGTCTTTGTGTCTTTTTTGCTCGTTACTTGAGCTTTGGCAGTACAGCACAAGAAAATTTGTATGTTAAGTTGGGGAGAAAGATGATGAGAAGAGGAATTGCGAAATGAGTAAGAAGCTGGCTGAGGAGGAACTAAGAGATAATGTTGAAGGTAGATGTTATACTGAAGAGACATTGCTGGCGGAGATCCTGAGATAATTTTGTTTAACGTGTTTCTTCAATAGTGCTAGCTCAAGTGTATTGAATTGAATGTATTTTTGCTAAAATGAGGTATACTCATGGTAGTCCAAGTGTTTTAGTTATGAAATTAGTAATGTCTGTCTACTGATGACAGAAAAACAGGAGACCATGCACTGGATAGCAGACAGGAGGAACTGGGTGATCTTGAAGACAAAGCAATAGAATGTAATAGGTGAAATCAAAATAATGTAATGCAAAGCAAGTCTTTCCTGGTCTGAGGGCCAAGGTATTTACTCTAAGCCATTAGTTCATTAGCGTGAAGAAAGTCAGGATTTGTCTATAGCGCTGCCTTGAATTTCCATTTCGTGACTTGTCCTCATGAAAATCAGCCTGTACCCTGTCAGTGTTGTGGTCAAGAACAGAGTTTAAATTGGGACTGAATGATGAGCAAGAAGGCTACAGAGAAAATCAGATATGGTATGCCTGTAATATCACAAGTGGAGAATATAAATCAATGCTGGAATGGCTTTCTGCAGCACTTTGTCTTTTTGAAGTTCACTTTGTCTTTGTGAAGTCCGAGGGCTGCAGAGCTCCACTTGTCCACTGGTCGGCCATGTAAGTGACTACAACACCTCGTACAGTGAGCATGCGTGAGCTGTTCTGTAAGAACAGGTACAACTCTTCCATTCAAACAGAAGTTTTACAACATTAGGAATTGAGCAGGATTTACAGGATTTGGCCTAGGAATTGAACATTTTTGCTACCGAAGTTTTATGGATATTTTTCATGCTCTAAATTAAGCTTTGCATTATCTATTTTAGCTTCTTTTTTTTTTTTCTTTTCTTTTTCCCCCACTTTTTTTTTTTTTTTCTCCCAGTCACAGCTTCTATTCACATCAACACTGTGGCATTTGTCTTGTAACAAGAAGGATCTATAATCATGAAATAACCCAGATTTATGCTTGAAGCTGTGCCATATTTGTGAAAATAACTCGAGGGGAAAAAAAAAGAAAAAGGAGGAACAATATACAGCAGATGTGAAGGTTTTACCTTCCCATTTAAGTAGGTTTATACTGTCAGTGAGTGTGGGCTTAGCACAGCCTGACAAAGTTTTAACTTACCAGATGTTCCACGTGATCAAATAGATACTATACAGCTGTTTCCCATTCTTTTTACTGAGCTCAGATAAATATACAGTAAATGCTCTGAAATATGTTTATTGTATTTTGGCCAGTATGTCGCCTGTTACTGTAGAGAGCTTCCTTTAATCCATGGGCGCTGAGAAGGCGGGGGAAAACTAAAGGTGCTGTAGAAGTATGGTGCAGATGGCTCATTTTCCATTGCTGTGAGGAGAAATTAGCAGCACTTTGATTCAAACCACACTGATGCTACTAATAAGGAAGGGATGAAATGCACATTTTGAATAAGACCACTGGTCTCACAACATTCATGTGTGGCACAAATGAATTCTGTGGGCTGTGCTTGGTCTCTGTGCAAACTCAGATTCCTGTGTGCAGGGTTGGTCCCCCAGAGCTGACAGCTTCATGGATGCAGCAGAGTTTAGCTGCCAGGGGAGGACATGGTTGTGAGAGAGCTACTGTCCCGCAGGTAGCTTGCACTAATCCCATCAAGGGCTTTAGCACGAATTGAAGACACCAAATAAGATCCTGGATTTAGTGCAGTATAGAAAACAGGGCACCTCCAGAGCTTCTGGTGGGGCTGCTTGTATTCTTCATCCTGTCTGCTCATCCAGGGGCTGGCTGCCTGCCCGAGGTTGGCCATTTGATTTGTTTTTTAAAGACACACTGCATTTGGGGGTCAAACTAAGCAACTACTCTGAAGTGTTTCAGGACTTCAAGGCGCAGGTTACATTAACTGCCACACCTGTCAACTTGATTCAATAACAGAGCAGCTAAATAATAAAAAAGGAAGTTTCATTTCCCCTCACCTGCTTTTCTGCTCTTGTTTCTCGTTCCTCCCCCTTCAACTCCCCATGCTCTCCTTAGCCCTATAACCTTACTGCTGCCTTCTTTCCCTCCTTTGAGGCTCCTGCTTTTTTGGATCTTCTCTTACACCTGGAAAATTCCTCTTGTCTACCAGGGGCCTTCCTTGTTCCCCTTTAAATCCTTCTTTAAAGCCTTCATCTTCCAGCAGAGGAATTACTTTCATCTTTCACTAATAGTCTCTTCAACATTTCTTGACTTCTTTGCCCTGTTCTTTTCAGATTTATAGCCTAGTCTTGCAAACCTTTACACAGAAGTAAGTGTTCGGTTAAATTGAGAACATTCAGGTAAAAGTTTAGAGGATGGTAACACTTGTTTGTTGGGAAGCTTTTAGGAATGGGAATATTTCTCACTTTGTAAAACAAAATGTTCATTTATGGCTTTCTGTATATTCTTAAAATAAGCATTTTTGGCCTCAGAGTAGCTGTGGAACATATATGTCAGTAACTTCTGCTTTTCATTCCCTAATTGAAGGTGTGGAACATATTCTCACAGATTTTTTTTAAATTCACTGTTGACAGTATGACTTTATACTTGGAATAACAGGAGAAGTGCAAGGTGTGCCTTTTATTTTAGAGCTCTTCATTGTTTTGTGTTTCAGGAATCCCAAGTATCTGGACTGCCGGAGTACATAAAGATTGTAGAAGTTGGGCCAAGGGATGGTTTACAAAATGAAAAGGTAATTTCTTTTTTTTTTTGCGTACCTTGACATAGATATCAGTTTCTTTTCATTGTGTAAAATACGTGTGTCATACTAATCATATTTCTTCCATTTTATAAAATACAGTTATGTATATTAATAACTGTCTTGCATAGAATTAAAGCATGTTACTGTATAGCCAAATGTTAAATTGCATCACCTCTTGCAATACTTGATTAAGTAGCCTTTATTTTATTCCACCACCTTTTTTTCCTCTGGATTTTTTGTCAGCTAATCACATTCTGTTATAACAAAACACTAGCTATGCTTGTAATATGGAACATGCAGGTATATATATACAGTAGGAACAGTATGATAGATTTTGTCATAATTCCTGAGGAAATGAAATTATTGCCTAAAGGAGTATAGGGAGTATAGAAGTAAATTGAAAGGGACTATTTAAAACACAGTATGTTTGTCAAAACCCAAACAATAATCCCTTTCATAAATGGGTGGTTAATCTTACTTATATTGTTACTTATATAAAAGGTTTTGGTAGAGTTAGTAGTACTCCAGAATAGGAGAATAACTCTGCCTCACTTGTGGAGCTTTTATTTTTTACCCCAATATTTCTCTGGTTGGACTATTCTCTGTTACAGTTTCCTTTGTTGCTTCTTCTCCAGGCTGATGTGAGGACAGATCTATAATCAGTTACATGGAAGTGTTTCCTCATTTTATTTTTGTGGTGGAAAAAATGGAGTAGAATCTTGTGTACCATCTAGTGCTTTCCCTGAATGTCAGCTTCCTCTCTCAGTAAATTGCATAGTACAAGTATAGTTCATTATTTTATAACTCATGTATGGATTATTGCTAGGAACATGTCACTTACAAAAACGTCTTGCTGAATGAAATGCTTTATGATAATATGTCTCCATGTTCACAGGTGATTGTCCCAACTGATACCAAAATAGAGTTAATCAACCGGCTTTCTAAAACGGGCCTTCCAGTAATAGAGGTGACCAGTTTCGTTTCATCCAAATGGGTGCCTCAGGTATGTAAAATCATCACGATTTCTAATTTAAATTCACATGTCATTCCATGCAGTGGAGTTTTCCAAGAGTACAGCCTGTACACTTATCCACGAAAGTGGAACAGGGGTAATACACTGTGTCTGTAAAATCAGATATTGTTGTCTGATGCTGTTTATGCAGTTTTCACATTTTATGGTTTTATCTAGATTACTGAAGTTGAACTAATTTATCAAAATGTAGTCTCAATGCATACACATACATATATAAACTCTACGCACCTTGATCTATCTTTATGTCTTTGTCTTTGTCCCACAGCGTATTCCAATGAAAAATAACAAGCTGAAAGTATTTTTATTGTTTTCAGCTGCATCCATTGAAGGGCTTGTTGGAACATGAAGGTTTTATAGCTTCAAATTATAATCTAATGTTAGCCAGAGCCACGTGTTGCATGCCCTGAGGTGGGAGTCACCTGCAGTGAATGCAGACACAATCAGTGTCAACAGTTGAACAGAAGTTCTGCAAAAAAATAGTTAAATCCATAACTCAGTAGAGTGAAGGAACAGCAAGAACAGATTGCTCCAGAAGGGAAAGGAAACCCTGATCCAAACACAATAACCAGAGGACCAGAGGCTGTAGCCTTGTTGACAAAGGGGTATTCCAGCAGTGCCCAAGAACAGAGCAAGGTGGGTGAATGTAACCGGGGGTGGCACATACTGAGGTAAGTCTATGGTGATTTGACAGTTCAAGATAGGAAGTCGTATCTATCTGAGACATAGCCAGAATCTAGTCAACAGGTACATGGCCAAGCATGGGGTTGGTTGCTCCACAACTGTGCTGTTTCTCCAGCAGGGAGGCAGAGTAGAACCTCAACTTTTGACCGAAAAGGGAAATGGTTTTAACAGAGCTGTTTGGAGTATCCTCTGCTGAACCTTCTTCCAGCTTTTTCTTGCTTCCAGCTTTCTTGTTTCTTGCATAGCTGAAATCTTAGATATCATCGTCGCTCCCAAACATAAGAAATTTTCTAGAGGAAGAAAACAGTTACAGAACTTGTGCAAACTGGGGAATGTTCCCTAGCACCAAAGCAAGGCAACTGACTCTGAGATTCCTCTGTATACACAGAAGCATTTGAGTATTTGTATATTTAGTAAGGACCACACGAGTTATTTACAAAGTAATACATATATATAATTGATGTGAGAAAATATGCTAATTTTTAACATTTTTATTTGCACATCTTCTGTTAAAATGTATAAAAAGTTTGTCCAATTGAAGCTGTTGAGAATGTGTCCTGCATTCCAGGCTTTCATCTGAGAAAAACATGGTATGGTCATACTTCTTCTTGTTCTTGAGATAGCAGAGCAAACTGGCTATAGAGCACACACGTATTTATTTCAGTGTTTCTGGGATCATCAGAGAGGAACCTAAAGAAAGGATAAGAGAAATATAACTACAGAATATCTTGGGTGGCAGTGTACTTTCAGTTTGTGTTCGTTAAAGTGCCTATGCTAAGTGTCATCAATCTTTGCTGCTACAGCAACAGAGAATAACACAAAGATTTTAAACATGTGAGGGAAAAGTCTAAAAAAAAAAAGAGATGGACTTCTTCATTTCCTGTCTAATTATTTTCTTCTCCTATCAGCCATTAAGAGTATCAAATTTAGTACTGATATGACAGTTTCAGAAAAAATGAACAATCCCTTTTTATCTTAAATCCACGTCTGAATGCTTTATTTTAATGACTTAAGTTGTGCTTAAAATGTTTCTTTATTTAAAAGATAAGATTGTGTTGCTTTGATAGGAAGTGCAGTCTTGACTTTGTCTTTTCTTTACTCCTTTTTATTTTCGTGAGTCATGGGAATGAAATTCTTGGTTATGTTTAGATTACTCATTCACTTATTTCTTTTTTTGGTATTTTCGAGCTTTTTATAGTTTCCCATCCACTTTTTTTTTTTTTTTTTTTTTTGGCCCAGAGATTCTGTTGCTGAAAAAATGCTGAAAGAAGTTCCACGGTAGCAAGATGCCATGTAAACAGGATCCCCACACCTATAACTTAAATGGCCCAAAATTATAAATACCTACCATCAGAAAGCTTATTTTTAAACACATTTGGAAAAGAAATGTTTTATTGCAATTTAAAATTTTCTAACGTGTAGCATGTGTTAAAATGGGATTTTACTTACAGGAAAAATAGTAATGGGACAAATGTACTACATAAAGTATTATTTGGACCTGGCAGTTTTATGCAGTTTGAAACTGTGTCATTTTGGTTTTCTAATATATTTTAAGTTGAGCTATAACTTTAAAGTGTAGAATTACTTCCAACGTTTGCCATTTATTTAATCATTTAGTTTTAAACGTTCTCCTTTGCCCTCAGAAATTTTATTAAATTGTGGAATGCAAAATTGTTCTTAAATAAGGCAAGACAGAATGTTTTCTGTAACTTCATCAGATATGTTAATTATAAAGACCTATACAGTTTACATACAAGCAATTACAGAAATTTACTTTGTGCTATTTTCTTGATTCCTGATGAGAAATAAGTTGTATCAGTCTATAAGACATTCTGTACGTACCATGTACCTACTTCTTTACAGGCGCACGTTGGTCTTACACTGGAGGAAACAGGCATGCATATTTCTGATGTATTTAATTCATCCATTTTCATAATAGGAAACCAGTCATGTGAGATTCTAGGTTACTGGTAGTATTGGCACTTAGTAACCTAGAATATACTTAGAATTCACGTACTGCAAACTCTCATTATTTCACATCTTACTTTTCCAAATAACAAGTAGTGAAAGCTTCATAGTTCATGTATTTTTTCATATAGTACTCCTAAGTTGACTCTGCACAAGTGTGAAGGTAATCAGAAATCCAGTTAAATATTTAAAGTACTGTTTGTTTGGAAATTTATGTGAAAACTGATGTAAACAGAACTTGAAACGTATGTAGATTGAGTATTCTAAAACTCAAAATCTGGCAGATGCAAAGTAGGAATTACTTGTGTTGTGTTGTTGTTAACTCTGTTGTTTTCAAACGTGGGCAACATTAAAAAAATTAATTTTCTCCTACTTTTTCAAGAAATAAATTGTCTAAATAATATACAGTTTAAATAAGTCTTTGATTTTTCTTCTTGATTAATACATGGAGCTATATGTAATCTCGAGTGAGAAAAAAGCGTATCCTGCAAGGTATGATTTCTCTTGTGAGGAGAGGCTAAGGAAAACAAATGCTTCAGTAGGTGTTCAGTAAAGTATTGTTCTTTGACTTTTGTTGTAATAATTTTTTTTTTTGGAAAGAAAGTACCAAGTATATTAAAATGTTGCACTATGCAGAAATTTGGATTTTGCTGTATTTTTTAAGCAAAGACTAAGCACTTGTTCTTAGTCTTTTCAAATATGCTGGTTACAGCATAGAGTAAGTTCAATTGTTTTCAATTTTGTGAAGTCTCATTTATCTCATATCTGATGTCTCATTTATCAAAGTGCTCCATTTTCAAGTTTTGGATGGTTTTATTCTGTTGATTTCACCTATGGAGTCCATCAAGGTAGGTTTAAAGTTGCAGTAACAATCAGAGATTAGCATAAAAAAATTTGTCAGTGTATAATGCATTCTTTTTTTTACATATACATGTAAAACAAAACACTACAGAATTTTTAATCCCAGTTCTGTATTCATATGGAACTGAAATGCTTGCAACTCAAATACTCAAAAGTTAAGAAATACAAGAAAAGACGTTGGTGCAACCTCAGTTTAATCCCTGTGCTGTTATTCTTTTCTGCGAACGGTACACCTGAACTAGACATTGTTTTTTTGCTTAGATATATAATATAAAAATTAGCTGCAAATTATTTCTGTATTTTAGATGGCAGATCACAAAGAAGTAATGAGAGGCATTGAGCGGCATCCTGGAGTCCAATATCCTGTTCTCACGCCTAATCTTAAAGGTTTTCATTCAGCTGTAAGTGCATTTGTAGAAGACATTCACAATTACCTCCTCCATGTTTTCATTTTTTTCCTTCCCTAATTTCTCATACCAGTGGAAATATCAATCAGTCCTTGCATATTTGTATAAATGATATTTGCACAAAAAGGAGAACTCCTTTTCTTTCTTAAGCTTGTTGGCTCTAGAAAAGTTTCTGCAGAATTTTTTCTTATTAGAAAGCAGTGAATGAATTAAATGAAAATGGTTTAGAGGAATGTGTTAGGTTCCTTAAATTTTTCATTTCATTTCAAAAATTCTTAACTGTTCTAGTTCATACAGAGTAAATATTCATTATGTTAAGACTCAAAATGGTGTGGTTCAGTCTTCATAAAGCAATGCTTATTGATAGTTGTCTTCACGTTGTTTTTTTTTTCTGAAAATGTTTCATGCTTCCATGCTTTGCCTTGATAGAGGACAGGCATATTTGGAAGGCACACTGCTTTGCAGATGGACAGTTGTGGTGTCCAGAGTACAGTCTGTCGTTCAGTTTCTATACCACACATGTAATCTCTGTTAAGTAGAACTCTATACATAAGTGAGTCAGTTACCAACAGTCAGCCAGCTTTGTCTGCAGTGGCAACTTGTGTAAATTAAATTAGATCTCTGCATACCCTGCTTAGTGATATAGTGAAGGGAAAACAAAAACAAACAATAGTTGCAGGTGATTCCTCTGTCCCTTCTTGATATTTTTTTATCCTTTTATTTGAAAGGGTTTTTGTTTCTGTAGTGGTTGCTGAAGTTAAGACATCCCACAGAAACAGCAAATAAAGGGAAAAGTGAGCTAGAGAGAGAAAGCTACTAGTATTTGTACCAGAAAGTGAGAATTAATTAATTAGCTTCAATGTTTTCTCAGTGTTCTGATTTGCGTCCTTAGTTAGTTAGTTGATTAATTGAGTACAAGCTTGGGCTAATCACCCCTTCAGTGAAGCTCACACATTGACACTAGGCATTTTCTAGGCTGGTATTTGCTCTGAGGCCTTTTCTCAGCAGAATCCAAATGCCCTCTGTGTTCTCAGCTATGACACCAATACCAGTGGAGCTCTTGATCGTAGCAGTCAACTGTGTCAAAGAAATCTTATTGGTTACTGCTGCTGCTCTATGTACTTGTGGGTCACAGATGTTGTGAGAATGACTTCTTGGCACTGACAAGGAGCTGACTTTGTACGGAAGCTGAATGTTTCAGAGATGTTATGCGATCTTTACTTCTGCAAAAAATGAAATGAATTGTTATTTTCATTGAATTTTTATGTATTTTCCTGCATTTTAATACTTAAATTTTATCACTTTAAAATATATATGTATTTTTAATATATATTTATGTATTTATATTTTTATGTGTGCATGATTACTAAGAAGAAGGAAATTTGTCATAGGACAATGCACTCAACGTTTGATTTGACTGATTTGTATGAAAGAGATAAAAAAAAAAAGTAATTAAACTTATACTTCAGAAATAGAGAAGACTTATAATGTACTTTAAAGTTCCAGAAGGTCTTAAGGAATTAAGTACTTAATCTCATCTTGTAATGTAGCGTTATAATTCTGTTCTGTTGAAATGTATTTTTCAGATTGCAGCAGGGGCTACAGAGGTTTCAGTATTTGGTGCAGCATCTGAATCTTTTAGCAAAATGAATATTAATTGTTCTATTGAAGAGAGCATAGAAAAATTTGAAGAAGTTGCTAAGTCAGCAAGAAATATGAATATTCCAGTGCGTGGGTAAATATAAAGATTCTTAAATATTATAGAATTTTTGGAATACTGTTACAAGTTTATTTTTTTTTTTTACAAGTAAAAAAGCATACTACCATACTTTTATGTAATAAATTAATGAAATAATAGCCTTTACTGTGATACTATTTTCTTAAGTGAATATATTTAGTAATTTTGTTCTGTATCTTGCAACAATTAGTGGCAACTAGATCTATCTGGAAATTACAGTGTGCATATACATATCCATTTTATTATGCAGTTTTTTTTTATCATCACCGATGACAGAAAAAAGCGTATTTTGTGTTGCTGAACCTTAAAAAATATCCTGAATGCTTTTTTTTATAGTACTATTCATACACTGTATAATCAAGGTATAAAAATAATGAAACAAATCCATTCCTAAAGAAAAAAATATTTTTCATGGAAGTTGTTGTGAAAACTTGGAGATCTGGAGCATATACAGTATCTACTACGTGAAACTCTGAAATCTTCCAGTATTTCTCTTTTTCTAGTATATTTTCTTTTAAAATTTCAGAATTCCTGAATGGTAGTGGCCTTTTGACAATCTTCTCCATTTCCATTTTCTGTTGCATTACATTGAGCTTCATATCTAAGATTGTTTGCGAACGCAAAAAACATTTGTATACATGTTTCAAGATGAAACTCAACACTGGGATTCACTGAGGAGTGCTAGTCACGCAAACTGCATCAGACTCAGGAAATACCTGGAGCTGAAAAGAAGTAGATATCTCAGAGAGTCAATTCTTGGAAACCTGCATGGGAATAAATACTGAGATCTGTCTTTCCTTCAGAACAGTGAAGAGAGAATGCTACTGTGCACTTTTTGCACAGCGCAGTGTTTGCCTTGAGAAAAGCTTTTATAATTTATCTCATACCTGCTTATGTCCTTTTTGCCTGGCCTGGTCTGGCCCAATTTGGATGGACAGTCACTTGGATAGAGAAAAAAGAACCTAATTAAGAAACAATAAAATTGTAACGGAGTTTAAATACTCCCCAACTAGCGGCTAATCTCTTGAGTCAAGCTTTGCCTTCCTGAGCAAAGTCTCTTATAAGAAGTCTGTTTAACCAGTCTCTGCAGCCGCTGTTTGCTGTGTTTTTCTGAAACTGAACTCTGAGCTGAGAGCATAATGAGTGACTTAAGTTTTCCAGGAAGACTAAGCTCAGGGATTAGCGCATGTCAAGCAATGTTTTCTCTATCGTGTTCCTGTATTTCACTACCGAACATCAAACATATGGCCCAGTAGAGCCAGCCAGCAATCAAGGGAGTCCTCAAAGCTTGTGGATTGCATTGCGTATATTTTTGGATAGCTACGGGTGTCAACAATTGAACTTTCTGAAGATGTAAACTGCAGGTGATGAAGAAGCCCCCTGTGGTGGACTCTAGATTGATGTTGAAGCTTAAAGTGGTAACTTATATTCTCTGCACTAGTTTGCACATGCTTAAGAAGCTGGAACCCTGCTGCTTTTTTTGCACAGAGTACACATTTAAGGCATTTGTGATATGCCAGCAGCAATTATTCTGGTTCTGAAAAACTGACATGTGATGGAAATAGCCGTTCCCGTGGTAGGATTCTACAACATTCCCATACATTTATTGTTAACTATCTGATCAATTATGTATGGCCACAAGGCAGAAAAGAATGAGAAAAACAACAACAACAACAACAACAAAAAAAAAACAAAAAACCCCACACAGTATTCCAAAATGAGATGATTTAACTCAGAGAAAATATAATCAGATTATGTATATATTGCATTAGCTTTGGACTTGTGGAGCTTTACACTGCATTTAATGACACAGAACAGAATGTGGAAAAGACAGTCAGGAAGTGAAATTTTAAAATATCTTTAGTAGAAATATTCACTGCAATCAAGGCGACTTTTTCCTGGAGGTAAAACAATCAACAAAGTTAGTTATCAGAGCTTGTGATTTATGACCTTGATATACTAATCCCAATTTAGCTGCTATTAAAAGAATTAGTGACAAATGAAATAAATGTTATTTTCCCTAAAACATTTTAATTTCCTTTGCAAGATTCTCTGAATGCTAGAAGAAGCAGACCTTTGTGGTTTATAAAAATTACAACAGGTAGAATGAATGTATCAGTAGTTTTTGTGATGGAAAGTAACATAAAGTAAAGCTGTGTAATGTAAGGGCAAAGATTTGCATTCTGTGCATTGAGAATTAACTTTTTGTTTTTAATTAATCTCTTAGAGAACAGCTACATCTGAAGAGCTGTGGCCAAATTCCACAGCCTTTACACATGCAAATATCCAGGACCACGCATTTTGGTTTCTAATATAAATGTTGTAGGCAAAATATTTTGTTTGAATTACTTAGGTAATAAAAATATGCATGAATTGTGTTTCTATTAATTTCAATACATTGATTGTTTCCTTTCTAAAGAACTATTGTTGTTTAAAGTGTTATTTATTTTCAGGAAATGGATAATTTAGTGTCTTGCCCTAAGTCCTTATTTGTGCAGTTGAAAAATACTTGCAAAATAATTTTAAGGGGTTCAAATTTTATTTCCCATTTTTACTGGCAATTTAGACTTTATGTATTGAGTGTAAATCACTGGCAATCCTTGAATCTTATGAAAAATGCACTGAAATAGTTGAAACTAAATGTTAAGCTTTTGCATGTCTTACTGTTGCTACAGCTGCACTAACATTGACTCGATCGTCATCCAGAAAATTTATGTTGTCAGCTGTCACGTTTAAAATCTGTAGTGTAGTACACAGTTTTCTAAATGTTTACTAAATTAGTTCAAATGTTTATGAAGAATTGAAATCTTGCATATGGTCATAGACAATTTATTAGCATCATAAAGGGGTTTTAATTTTTAGTTTTTGTACATGTATAAAAACTTTACAATAACATCTGGGACACATTCTGTGAAGACACTGTGCCAAATCAGTGTTATGAACTGTGTGGTCAGTTAATGACTACTATGCGTATTTTGCATGGGACATGGCACAAAATATATAGCTGGTTTTAGGATCGAATCTTTTAATGCATCATTCAGGTACTATTACAAGTGTCACATCTTTTTTTGTGATAAAAATGAACTCAAATAATCCAGGATTATTGAGAAATTGTGGCACATGCTAGTTCCAAGTAGTCCATTGGATTGTGTTTTACTGAAATTGAAATTTTAGTGTAAGTGTAGGTATAGTGAGAAAGGTAAGCAAATTCTGGCTAAGCCACATTCTTTAAAGTTAATATAGTAATTTGAATAATTTGAATAGAGAAATTGCAGTTATTGCACTAGAGAGCCTTTAGGAAATTAAGGAGTTTCTCATCCACGCTCTCCACCTCTTTTCACAAATAGCTCTTTAGTTCCTACTTTAGTTCTGTGACAATGAAGCAGTATTATTCATCTGAAACGTTTGGTTCTGTGTAGGATTGTGTTTGTCCTGAAGAAAATTAATGGTGAATATAGAGCTGAAATGTTCCTTTTTTTTTTTTTTTTTTTTTTCAATCTATCAAAAAACATCTTTCCATGACCTGTAATTAAAATCTGTACGTATGTCACAGTCCTGAAAAAATTCCCTGTGAATAGCCCTTTTGGACTATTTGCATGTGCATGTGTAAATCTGAGTGTGTACGCGAATGTTTAGAGTTTCAGCGTTGGAAGAACAGATGGAAATGTTTGCTATAAAATAACTTCTAACTCTGGAAGCGTTTCCTTACAAAGCTGCTGCTTCATAAATTAAAGCACGTGTAATCACACATTAATTCTAAACTGATGTATATAATTCCTTTGTTTATAGTCTATAATTTTTAAGAATGAGCAGCAGTGTCCCGAAGTTCACAATATGGAAACGATTATTGAATTGTATCAATATTTGGCAAACATCCATGTTTGTATGGAATTCAGTGCCAGTTGATACACTTGAAATTTAGGAATTTTTTTTTTCTATGGCACACAAATGTCATACAAACAATTACACAGCAAAATTATTCAAATTGTTCAAACAATACATTTTTTTATTATGTTATAATAAAATTATCTTAACATTAAGATTTAAACGTGTATACTTCCTTGTTGATCATAGTAAATAGTTATTATTGTACATCTATGTTAATATAAAAAGTAAGAAGATACAAAATAGTACAAAACCTAACAGAAAGAGTCAAGTTTAATTTTCTTCATTCTGCTAAAGATATTTGAATTTATTCTGGGGGAAAAAAAAAAGGGGTGGTGGGGGGGAAAGAACACATTGGTATTTTTTTGATATATTTTATGGCATGCAATTCCAGAGATGTTTATTTTTATTATGAAACATTTTGAGTATCTGAAACTTCTGATTTTCAAGACAATTTGATCTTAATAATTCAGTTTAATAATGCCATTTTTCCACTTTTGACAGTTTACCTTAGATGCCTTAATGCAGGACATTTGGCTGGCCTTACAACACTGTACCCAATGAGAAGTACTATGAGATGAAACTCCGACAATGCAGTTTTGCACAGATCAATGTGGTTTAAAGCTGTGTATATTTTACCAATAAAGACAGGAACTTAGAATTCACATTTTTGGCTTTTTAGAGTACTTAGGGCTAGACTACATATGCTTTTTCTGAATTGCATTAAACCCTCGTTGTTAGGCCAGATTGAGAGTTCTTTGGCATAGCCACAATTATATTAATAAGAGGGTGATTTGTATTAGTATCACTGCTTTAGAAAGTTAGTAATAGTAGCTTAGCACGTTCATGTCGCTGTAAGTCTTATGTTTGAGACTGTGGGAACAACAAAATGTAGACAAGCATTTAACAGACTTGGAAGCAGTGCATTTTAATGTGTAAATGGTAAACTAGTCTACGGGGTTGTACAGTATTAAGCCATCTGGTCACGGTCCCCTGGAGAAGTTTGAGAATCCAGAAACTGTTAGGAGTTGGGACTTGGTGCATTTCTCTCTACTGCACAAAAGTTAAGAAAATAATGAAGGAACTGTTATAATAATTTCATCATGGTGGAT